TGGAAACATTGCCAGGCTACGGACGGTAAACGAAATCTGACTTCACTCGGTGGAGAAAGAGGGCAAGGGGAGGATAGCCGGTCCCTTGTGTCACCAAGGATGCAAAAGAGAAAGGACATTTGAAAAAGTGGGAGAAAGGCGGGATCCGAAAGGAAGCATAAGTTGAGAGAGAGGTCAGTTTGACTTAACCATTTCCCCGACCGCTTGACTATGAGAAGATGATGGACTGATTGAACAACAAAGAGGCAACAAAGCACAGCAAAGAGCATGGAAAGAATAGGTATGTGGGAAGGGCTACGTGTTGATCCCCAATGGGGGACATTGTATGGATCTTCTTTGCTTGTGTGGGATTGTGCAGGTGAGTAATGGCTAGAAATGCCTTGAGCGGGATAAGGGCAAGAGGAACTAGGCACCAAGAGGGAAAGGGAAGAGGGACAAAAGGGCTATGGGACCCTTGACATAGAGTCAATTCATGAAAATGATGTTTGCACTTTAAGACTTGGAAGTGCTATTGAGAGTGCAATCGTATCAAGGAAAATGTGATGTTGTCTGTGCATGCATATGAGGACCACGAAAAGACTAAGGGGCCTGCTTCAATAAGGTGGGAAGCAAATTACGAGATCCGATGGATGCGTAGAGGCGAGGGGAAGGATGGCCCCACCGCACCCCGATGACCCCATATAGCCAAAATGCTTAGTGAAATGGTGCGTGGCCTAAGGATGACGCTTAGCCTACGCACAAGAGAAGAGAAAGGCGCAAAGAACGCCTAGACTGCCTGCGTATTGGAAGGAGCAAATGCCTGAGAACACAATAAAGAATAATAAAAAATCAGCGTTGCGGAACGACCAGCGAGACTACCACCCAGCGTGAGGGCTGAGCTACATCCCCAATGTCAAAGCTCACTCGCGCGATGGCCCGCCCCCATCCATCTCAAAGCACTAGGTGGGGCTGACCTTGGGACGGATGGCCCGCGCCCTGAGCATGAGTGTGGGCGGGCCGAGCCAACTGGGACCCGCAGTGGGGTCGACTAAGGCTCGAAAGTCTACCGGGGTTTGGCCCTACAAAAATGGTGGAGGTGACGGGCATGGGGTTAAATTGACCCTTGCGATTCCTACAGGGGCGCCCGATGCATTGACGTGTACACAACCCAAGATAAGGAAAATGAACTTGTGTTTGCTCTTTCCCTTGTGAGAGAGCAGTTTTGAGGGTGGCAGGGCGCATGGCATGGCCAGGCCTGGAGGTATAACATGCATGATATGCACTTGATCAACCATATCCTTGTGGAATGGTTCTAGCCCTCCTTCGTTCGGTGCTGGTGTTCGCTAGTCCGGGAAAGCCTTGGGCAAGTCGCAGGTCGACCCTTCCTCTTCGTATGAAAGAAGGGCTCCGGTTACCTGGCAGGCGGTTGGTGTTTGGCTTAGGCCGAGCTCCAATGAAAATCCCGCGGCGGAGTGATCCGAGCGGACGGGTGTCCTTCTATCTCCTTCTTTGAGCCCAGTGGGCTCATGCACTTTGCACTTTTTTTTTTTAAATGCTTGAAGGAACCAATATGAACACAACAGGTCATCAAGAAAGAACAATCCTACCCTATGAAAGGACAGACAAGTGAAGAGAAGGGAATGAAGGGAGTTGCTAGACTCCAAGGAAAACTAGCTCACCCTTGAAGATTCTCACGAAAATGAACCAACCACTATGTATGAAAGTAGGGGGAGTGACACTCATTGTCAGAGAAAATCTGTGAGTTATGGGTAGGAAGCGCTGGGTGCACCAAGGGAAAGGCACTTGTACTATGTGTGTCCCACTTGGGACTTGTGATTGCATGATTGGGATTTCGAGCGTCCTGACATTTGGAAGGAAAGGATTGGTTTGCGTCGGCCGGTGCGGGATGCAAGTTGGTCGTCCTCTTTGAAGTTCACCGGGTTCCGTGTGTGGGGGTCGGGCCACCGGACTGTCAGGCAAGGGTTGGTCTCGTCGGCTGATTAGTAGCATTCTCACCGGGAGCGGTCCGAGCATGGCTCGATGATCTAGCCCAGGTGGGATGTGAAACCTCTTCAGGCGGGGCGGCTGCTTGACGGCAGACGGCAGGGGGACCACTGCATGTGGGGCAAGGAAGGAGCCTCGGAGGCGATTGAGAGCTTCTCGTAGCATGGCTTGGGAAAAATTGTTCCTTATTGGACCGATGGAAGTGAATGCCTGGACGGCTGGCTCCAATGGCCCTACCGGGATGTGCGGGGTGATTCCCAAGATTAACGGTGGGTACACGAGCGGCAAGTCGGGATGGCGTATTCTGGGTAAGGAGGAAAGGGCGAATGCCTTGCCAAGACCTGGGTACCGCGCTCGCGACGGTTGAGCTGCGCTTGAGGTATGGGATAAAACCCTACCGATAGTACCAGCGGAGAGACCATATTGGGATGGCCGGTGAGGAGATGACCGGCCCGTGTGTGAGATTGCCTGATTTTTTTTTATGTATCCTCCTCTGTGAAAGTTGATTGAGCTTGGACTGTTGGACGGGACATATTGCTAAGTTTATCCCCCCCCCCCATCTAAGTTCACACGAGTGAGAGATGATCGGAAGGAAGGAGGATAGAGGTCAATTGGAATGAAACCAAGAGAAAGAATGTGGGCAAATGGATGGCCAGCCGAGGGAATTTTAGGAAGGGGGTACTTAGGAAAGGGGAGGTAAAATAGGGAGACCTTGATGAGGGGTCTAAAATAATTCTCATCTAGGACAAGGGTTGACCTGACCAAAAGGATCGGTTGGTGTCTTTTTATGAAAACAGGGGTCGGGTGCTGAAAACAAGATGGCGTGATGGTTGCCTTCCCCGATCTATACCAGCGGCCCCAAAATGCCAGTAGATGTAAAGGATGGGGTATCGGTCGTCCTCTCGGAAAATGGAACGTGGACGGACCTTGAACCAACGTATCAAACGGTAATACTGGAAGGAGAGGATGCTTTCCGTTGGATAAAAATAATATGGACTAATGTTAGCTTGACGAGGTTGTCACCAAGTTTAATGGATTTGGAATTCCGAGGGACAGTGGAAGCCCGGGGGTGGGTCTACTTGTCGCAAGATGGGGAGAAAGCTATGATCATAGAGTTGGCACTCGGGAATACGCCGGACGAGTTGTTTAGGAAAGCAGAAGCAGAGGTTGTGTGGGCTGCATGCCAACGGAGAGAAATGGAAATGGAAAGGGTAGACGTACGGGTGGAACTTGGGGATAGAGGAAGCATGAGGCGACCCGTAAGAACCATGCGATGTGTGCTGCCCTCCTTCCTAGTGGATGCGGTTTTCGGAACCCGGAGCAGGCTAGTACGGATATGCCAGTCCATGACAAACCTCGGGCTATACCAATGCGCTAGGCAACATTTTTTTTCGGTTATCAGTAGAGATGGGGTCGTTCGAGGGGAATTGGGCGGAGGAGCTGACCAAGATACTAAACTGCCTTAGCATAGACAATATCTTTGTCCCTAGCGTTGTGCATTGGGGGATAGTCTACAGGAATGTGGCAATAGGGGAGACGTTTCTAGATGGGGTGAGGAAGTTGGTATATGACGAGGAGTACAACTTCAGTGATGAAGACGAAGATGAAGAGATAGAGGACTGGGACTTCTGAGAGGGGTGGGGAAACTTAACTTAGGAAGGACAGGTGGCCTGGTATTGTGCAGGAAAGGGAAGATGACTAGAGAAAAAAGGATGATGGAATACCCCTTCAAAGGCTGGGAACCACGGCGACTCATAGGAGGAATAAAAATGCCTATACCAACAGGGAACGGATGGAGAGGGACCACGTGCGACTGGATTGGGTTTGAGGTTGCCCGGGACTTGTCATATGTATGGATAGAGCGGATTTGGAACCCGATAAGGGAAGAGGAAGGTTGGGATGATATAGCAGAAGGCAAGGTAGAGTCAGTTGGAACGATTGTCCTTTCCAAGGATGGATGGCACCTGTTTTGCACCATGTCAGCAATGGGACAGGACCCGATGTAGCTTCTAGGGGATGCAGAGGCCCGAACCCGAAAGGAGGGCAAGCTGTTCGCCAACGAGGGATGGGACGAAGTTAGTAGCAGAGTTGTGATGGGAGGATGAAAGGAACTCAAACCTCCAAGTCTACGGATAACGGCTTGGGTACCGGAATTCATAGCCGAGTGGTTTGGGGGGTTTGAGCACATTTTAGAAGTAGCCGACTCCATGAGAAAGGTGCATATAGAGTGTGCCTGGTTGACTGAGGAGTTCTATAGGCTCTCATTGAAATATGGGCCCTTCAACGGAGATAAAGCCGAGAAAGTCATCATCGTCCTAAGAATAGGCAGGTATGACCGCCTAGAGGTAGAGGCGGAGTCTTGGGACTTCATAGTTAGTCAAGAGGCGGCGGCTGCACCCTCCTACGTAGACGACGTCTTTAAACTATTTGAGGTACTGTGGTTCGACTGAATGAGGCCAAGGGATCGAACGCCGCGAAAAAGCTTGAGTATGGAAGGTGCTTGTGAAGAAAGGTGTAACATAAGAAAGAGAGTGTGTACATTAGGCCGTAGATGGTGCATAAGGATCGAAATAAGGGGGAAGTGACAACAACTGGAAAATGGGGGGGGATAGAAGTGAACGTGTATGAGTTGGGGATAGCGGCAGGAACCAGTGTACGATAAGTAGAGAGGGTTGAAAGACTAAAACACGAAAGGCATGGAATCTTGGTGGGTGCAGCGATTGGACTAAGAAAGCAGGAAAGGAGACATTGCGAGATGGCCCGGCGAATGACGTTCTGGGCGGATAGACCTCGTGGGATCCTGCAACCAAGAATATCAGAGGGCAGGGTCGAATTAAGCCTGCCGGCAAGAAATACGGTAGGCAATCCGGTAATGGACTGGGTGGAGGTAGAGTTGGTGGAAGATACGGTGTACCTAGTAGTGAAGTTGGAATGGCGGGCGAGAGGGGAGTTCGAGGGCGTAGACTTGAACCGCCCAGGGCGTGTACACGCGACGGGATCCTTATACCTGTCGGAAGAGGGATGACGGACCTTTGGGATTGCTTTGGCTTCCGGGGATGACCCCGTGCGAATGTTCGAAGGGGCATGGCAAATAACCTGGCGGGAGGGGTTTGAGTTTGCAGACCCGGAACAAGATGATGTAACGGCAGAGGTAAAAGTCGCCGCGGCAGGGGTTTTCGAGCTGCCAAACGAGGTCGTACAGACGAGTCTACCTCCGTTCCCGCTAAGACAAGTGGGAGGCATAGAACGAGTGGAGCAGGCGGTGACTGCCGTAACTAGGCTAAATTTTGACGAAGCATTAATATATCGAGAATATTATCGGGCCTTTCTAGAGATGGGGCCTTTCGGGGACGAACAAGGGCGCGAGGTGCTTTGTATTCTAAGAGCAGCAGTAAATGCTAGGCCAAGAGTTCCACAAATAAGTGATGAGACGATGTGGAGAGTCATCCGGCGAGAGGTAGGTCGGGGCGCGGCCTACATAGATGATTTCTACCGACTGTACGAACAGCAAGAGGAGGCTACTGCTCCCGGGGGTATAGAGGGATAGTTGGGACTAGAAAAGAGAAATGAAAACACGAAGGTCAAGGGAGACAGTAGGTGGGCGGATTCTGAAGATTGGTTGTAACCCTTTCTATGTGGACTATGCAAGAAATCACCCAGGTAACAATGGCAGCAAGACGTGAGCGAGTGGAACGTCAGCCCCGTGTGTGAATGGAACGCCAGCCCCGGTACCCCGGACCGCCCTGGAACAACGGTGGACGATGGGAAGTATCCCTCCCGTCGAGTTCTACCTATCGGGGGTTCGACGTAGAATGGCGGGCCGTGACTTTGGGAAGGGACGCGGCCTTCATGTTGGTAGAATGTCGGTGGACAGGAATGAGACTCAACCGAGGACCCGGAGACGATCTGTTCTCCAATCTGGAGGTTACCGTGACCATGTATCTGTCTAAGATCGACTGGCATTCGTTGGGGGTAGAGATAGCACAAGGTCACGAGCTGACACCGGTCTTTCAAAGGGTCGCCCGGACGTTGACCCGGATAGGATATTCGGTCAGAGGAAGAAGGAACATGGGCTTGCTAACCCGGGTGGAGATGGGAAGCTGGAGGGAGTTCAGGGCACCAACCACACCGTTGAGGTGTCGGGTCCCCCGTTTTATGATAGATCTCATCTTCGGGAGCCTCGCAAGGGCGCGGGAGCTGACAGACTTGGCATTAATGTGGGCAGACCACTTTTCCTCTCTAACCATCGGGATGTTCTATGATGTCGCCGTGAGACATGGGCCATTCTGGGGAAACAGGGCCCACGAGTTACTGAAGGTCATCCATATCCTCATATTTCGTGCGCCCTGGCTAGACCAGACAGGGTACGAACGCATAATCCAAAGGGAGATCGAGATAGGAGAGAGCTATTTGGCAGGGGTGGCTGAGCTATTCGAGGAGCCGACCGAACCGGAAGAACCACGAGGGCGCGAGCGAGACTAGGATCCGCAGGCAGGCCAATAGGGCAAATCCAGTATAGTTCGCTGCGTACGGAAATCCGCCGATGGGAATAAGAAAGGGGCCTCGGACCCGTATGGCTAAAACCCACTAAAAAAACAAAGAAGGGGGTAGACTCCTAATGAGTGACCATAACCCGGAAGGTAAAAAAACGGAAAACGCTGCTCGGGAAGGCTTCCCCTAGCAGGATGCCTAACCCGGACTCCCTCGCGTCGGCCGACGGGACAAGGGCACTACAAACGAGCTTGTGATAAAGGAAGCCCAGTCACGTTCATAGCTCGGCTGGGCGGCAGGGCCAGTCGTGGCTCCTCCTTAAGGAAGGGCAATGAGGAAACGGGGATAGGAAAGGAGACTATAAAGATAAGCCAACAAAGCTGGGAGCCTAGGGAACCTAAAAACCTCGCATTGCGTGTGTCCTGGGAATTCTTTGGCTCATGCAGAACTAAGCAAAATGGCAATGGAGGAGGAGACAGATAACCGTAAGAGTGAAGGAGAACCAGGCTTAGAAGGCAGTGCCGCGCAAAGCGAAGGGGGGCAGAAGGACAGAGAATCGATAAATCCGGATGGTACCAAAGGGAACCGGAAGGAAATCTTCATAATAGAAAGCTCGGGGAAAGCCGGGGGAAGCAGGCAAGGGACCCAAGGGACCAAGGAAGGCATAAATAAGGATAGGACAAGCCCCCGAAACTCGGAAGGAGCCATGCCTAAGAAAGTAAGGGTCACAGACACAAGGCGCAAACTAGCCGAGATAGAGAAGAGGACCGCAGAATATAAGGCAAGACTGATTGAGGAAATGGTGACTGGGAACGAAGAAGGTCCTCTGCAGAAGGAACCCCGGGACGAACGGAAAGCCAGCCAAGGTGGGACTGGACAAGGGGATAAAGGTAGTGACCGTGGGGGAACGCCAAGCAAGAGAAGGAAAGAGAGGGAGAACTCTCCGGGGATGGAAACAGAAAAGGCTACGACTCCGCCAGCCATGGATAGTAGGGCTAGCCGCCTGCCGATCACGCGAGCAGTAGCGCGAGGATGCGAAGGACTTTGGAGCCTTAGGGAAAGAGTGTTGGGATGGTTTGACCCGAAAGGAACTATGAAATCAGGGAGGGACAGAAGGCCGGCAAGGAAAGTCCGGATAACAGTGTGGCAGGCGAGGCCAGCAGCTCTGAGGGCGGCCTTAAGAAGATAGTGTCGTCCCTCGCACGAGCACTAAACAAAAATCAAGGCTATCTGGCAGACGCCAAGAAAAAACTGACTTTCGATGGAGCAAACATCACAGAGTTCCTGATCGACTACGATAACCTAGCTGCGTTACTAAAGTGGACCGAGGACGAAAAAATGGACTATCTAGGACAGCATGTGTCGTTAAGCCTAGATCGGGACATAATGGTCATTGTAGCCGCAAGCCGGTCTTGGAAGGAGACCCGGGATGTGATGATGAGGAAGTACCTAGCTGCAGAGAAAATGGCAACGGAGGCTGACCTAGCGGCAGTTTAGAGGAAAAACTTCGCAACGTACAATGATTTCCTACGAGAATTTACTCTGGTAGCACTAAGGATCCCCGGGGTCACGGACCGGATAATGAGCAAATATTTCCTCAGGCAGTTCTCCGAATTCGACAAAGACAAGATCCTGTCAGCCTACCAAGAGATGAGCAAGTTCGTAAACACGCGGGAAGTTGATTTTAGCACGGTAACGGATCTGGCTGAGAAAACGGTAGTAACGGAGACGCTGGCCTTGCTCAAGGAAGGAGAGATCATAGATCTGACCGGTAGGACGGGCAACAAGGTAAAGAAGGGGATTGAAAGTCTACATGAACGGGTGCACGGGGTCGACAATAAGATTGAAAGGATGGAAGGCGCGCTAATGGTTATGCAAGCACAAGTATCTCGACCTGCCCTCCCTCCCCAGGAAGCTGTGGTCCTGCCAGGTGTAGCAAACCGGGGATTCGGACGGAGAGATCCTGCTAACGAGCAATGCAAGTACTGCACCGCGATAGGGCATTATGTGCGCGCATGCCCAAAGCTCGACCATGATATTCTGAAAAAAAGATGTACCAGGTCATTAAAGGGGGAGATATTTGGACCACAAGGGGAACGGGTGAACTGGAACTCACCAGGAGGGATGCGGCGAGTCATTATCATGCTCAACGGTCTAGAAATAACAGCCGTACAATCCGAACCGGTGGGCGAGATCATCTGGGATCAGCTCCGGGGCGCGGACCGCATGCCAACTTTATTTTGGAAAGCGACGGACGTGATAGGGTGAACGCAACCACTCAACTGGGAACGGCCGGGAGAAGGATTAACCGTGACACCATTATGGAGGAGGTCGCCGGAAGCTCTGAACCCCAGGCGGAGCCTGAGGCCGAGGAACCAGAAAAAGTCTATGGGAAGCTTAGGGAAGAGGAGCCCGCGGACAAGGTTACCGCCGCTAAGAAGAAGTTTAGGTATCAAATCCCGATCTTAACCTTGCCTGAGCTCGACGACACCATTAGCAAGTTACTAGGAACCATGGTGTCGGTGTCTTTTCAGGCCATGCTGCAGGCTAGCCCTAGGTTGCTCAAAGAGCTCAGACAACTGTTGACTCGGAGGCGAGTAGGAATAGGCGACAACCCCGAATTACCAGAAGGGGAGAGAGAGGAGGAAGCTCCGCAAGAAGTGGCTAACCTTCAGAGGAGTCACGGGGAGTTGGAGGATCTCGAAAAGGTCTTTGCATACATTCGTTTGAGCTTGCCCGACCAAGAGGGCGGAGAAGTCATGAGATCGCCACCCGGGACGAAGCTTAGCTTTCATGCGCTGCGCGTAGGGAAACTGAAAATTCAGATCGGAAGTCATCATACCGACGCATTAGTAGACGGGGGAGCAGAAATCACTCTCATAAGGAGAGATTTTGCAACGATCGCGGGATGTACGTTGAACAAGGAAGTAACAGGGAGCATCCGGGGAGCTGGCGGGGAAATCCCGTTCGCTGGGTACGTCACGAAGTGTGCTGTGAAGGCAGGGGTCAGGGAATCGATCTGGTCGTTTCAGCGGATGACCGTAATGGAGGAAATGGACCACGACATAATCCTCGAGAGACCTTGGTGCGCGAACGTAGAGATGATAGGCATGCACTTGCACGATGGCTCATACATGGTAGACATAGAGGACCCTGTGACCGGCTGGGGAGAGCTCCTCCGACTCCTTGGAACGGGAGGAGACCCCCCGAAGGGGAAATCGACAACATGGTCGTCGTCGTTCGAGGATAGCACGTCGAAAGGGGTTTTCGCACGGATGGATGGTATGAGAGAAAGGGTAGAAATCATGATTGAGGAAGCATTCAACAAAAAAGAGTGGATCAAGATGGGCCTGCCCCAAAAGAAGAGGAGGCAGGAGGACGAAGTCCTAGGTGTTATGGTAGCGGAAAAGGAGTCAGAGGTCCAACTTGGTGCTAGCCTGCCCAAACGGAAAGAAGTGTGCATAGACGTGCTGGAAATCGCACTCGAGATCCCCGATCTATTGCAACTCATCAAGGCCCTCAGATACCACAAGGTAGGAGTGGATTCGGGAGCCTTGGTCAAGTTCGAAAGAGAGGTGCAAAAGGGATATTGCCTGAATGGGAAACTAGTTAGTATTCAACCACGAGTCGTAGAGGCGACGGGGGCAATTCCGACTGTTCATTTTTTAGAAGAAAGATCCCGGAAGGAAGTGTTCGAAAGTACAAGTCGGTAGGGAAGAAAGCAAAACCGGTCTCGATCCTGCTAGGGACGTCAAAGGAGGAGGCTATGGAGAAGGAGGAAGAGGTCCTTCGAGTGATCCGAGAAAGAAGGGCGACGGAGGGACATCGGATACCAGATGAGGTAGCGGACACAATGAAGATAGGGATAGACGGGTTCTTAACGGAAGAAGAAACCCGCCTGATCAAAAGGACCTGCCAGGAGTTTCACCTGGCATTTGCCTTTAGTGATCACCAGAAGGGACGACTGGATGCGAAGTTGATCCATCCGGTCAGAATCCACACGGTAGAACATGAGTGCTGGAATGATAAGGGGCCATCATATGAATTTGGGATAGCAGGAGAAGTAACAGACCTCCTCCAAGCGAAGATGGACTCCTTCGTTGCGGAGCCTACGGCATCGCCATACGCAAATCGGTGGTTCGTCTTTTGGAAGCCTAACAAGACACTAAGGTGGATTCAGGACCTGCAAAAGTTGAATGCGGTAACCATCCGGGATGCTGGCTCGTTACCTCAGGCTGACTTATTAGCAGAATCGCACGCCGGTAGGAGCATTTACTCCTTGATAGATCTGTACCCAGAGTACGACCAGCTTCCATTGGATGTTCGAAACAGGCCATACACCGCTATGCACAACCCCGTAGGCCAGCTACAGATGCAAGTGACACCTATGGGATTCACAAACGTGGTGGCCGAAGCGCAACGCAGGATGCTCACTGTGGCCGGGGACATGTTCCCAGAAAAAATGTGAACCTTACATCGATGACAATCCGATCAAAGGCGCGCAGGAGAAGGACGAGACGAAAGTCCAGCCAGGGATCCGACGTTTTGTGTGGGACCACCTGCACGACATCAAGGATCTACTCCGACGGTTCCTAGTATATAACATTACGGCTAGTGGACCGAAGAGTATCCTAGCAGTACCGAAGGTAACTATATTAGGATTTCGTTGTGGTGCTTACGGCAGGAAGCCGGATCCGGCAAAAACCGACAAGATATCACAATGGCCGACACCGTTGCGCACGACAACGGAGGTAAGGGCATTCCTAGGTGTAGTCGACTTTTGGAGGATCTTCATTAAGAACTTTGCCAAGATTGTTGAGCCTATCCGAGCTATGATCAGGGAAGAAGGAACCATGGATTGGGCGGAGGAGCGAGAAGGAGCTGTCCAAAGGCTCAAGGACATATTGACATCTGAGACAGTCGCCCTGTCCACGCCTTGTTTTAATGACGAAGTGGGACGGACCTTCATCCTAGAGACGGATGGAGGACCTTTGGCCGTAGGAGGTGTGTTGATTCAAAAGGATGAGGGAGGAAAAGAGAGGCCGATTAGGTTCGAAAGTAGAACCCTGAACTCCACTGAACGACGGTACTCACAATTCAAGAAAGAAGTCATAGCCATCCTGCATTGCCTTAAGACCTTCCAGGCCTACCTATTTGGGAGGCGGTTCATCTTAAGGATCGATCCGACGAATGTCGCAAGGGCTCTTAAGAATTACAGGCCTATATATCCGACGGTAGGGAGATGGGTAGGATTCATCTGGCAGTTCGATTACAAGATCGAACGGATTGCTGGAATCTGCAACAAGGCAGATGGGCTGAGTCGGGTTTGCATCACTCCCGAAGGCATGAAGGATGCAGAGCCCATAGACGCCTTCCTCGAATACGAAGGAGGGACTCTCGCGATGGATAACGAAATGATGAGCGAGGGATGCACATCGGGAGAGCTATTGATCCAGACTTTGGAGAAGGGAGCACCTGTCGTAGTAGCAGAACTTAGAAAAGGACTAGTTACCACTCGAGGACGCAGAGAAGAAAAGGACTCATGGGGAACGATAGTAGGACCGAAAGAGGAGCTAATAGCAATGGCGGTCGAAGGAGGCCGGGAGGCAGTGATGAGCTTAGTGGAATCTTGGGAAAGGAAAGAGTTGCAAGAGTGGTAAACCAGATGCAGGAAGGAAAGGATGAGGGCAAGGAAGGAGAGAAGTTTTTCTATGTCCAATCCTACGAAGGGCTCTTTCGGGAGATCGGATTGTTGTTGGTAGGAAACAAACAACCTACGGAAGTTAGTATTAAGGCAAGAGAAGAAGCCGAAAGGTACGTCCTAAGGGGCGGACATTTGTTCCGAGGGGAGGAAGGTGCTATGCCTAGAAGGGTTATGTGCGGCAGATCTAGGCAAGTAGACGTTATCCAGGCAATGCACGACGGGTTAGCTGGAGGTCACCGGTCGTCCAAAGGAACACTTGCAAGGATAACGCCGCTCTATTATTGGCCAGGCATGGCAAGGCATGGTCGCCATATACTGCCAGACTTGCCTTATTTGCCAAGAACGAAGCTCGGTACGAGTCTTCGAGCCGCTTAGACCAACGCGGGTGCTAGGGCTGGGACATCTGGTCCACCTCGACCTTGCGGTCATGTCTGTATCAACGGATGGGTATAGGTATATCCTGAATGCGCGAGACAACTTGAGTGGGTTCGTGGAGGCAGTTGTCCTCAAGAAAAAGACAGGGAGGAGTGTGGCGGACTAGATAGAAGACTTCTACTTAAGACATCCGTTCGTCAGGAGGTTTATAGCAGACAATGAGACGGAATTTGTGAACCAAGAAGTATTGAGGATGCTTAAGCGACTCAGCGTTCCGATCAAACTCATCGAGCCGTATCACCCTGAGGCCAATGCACCTGTGGAAAGGGGGCACCGAACCTTGAAGAACACGATTGCAAAGCTCGCAGCGGACCATCTGGGGAACTGACCTAGGTATCTTAAGCAGGCTGTCTTTGCAGAGAATATGACTCCTAAAAGGACAACAGGATGTATCCCGGCGGAGCTTTAGTACAGAAGAGAGATCCTAGATACCTTCCTGGAATAGGTTAGATGATGATCCGCAGATGACCACTGAAGAGTTAATTGAGGCAACATGTCAACAAATCCTTAAGAATGAGGAGGTCATGGAAGACATCGCCAACCGGGTGCTGGACAGCAGAATGAGGGACAAAGCAAGGTGGGACCAGGTTAAGAATGTCAGAAAGGAGCCACTTCAGGTGGGGGAGATGGTATTGCTAAGGAACTCGACACTAGAAAGTACTTGGTCGGGACAGTAGGGAAGGATATTCAAAGACCCCTACCGGGTCGCCAAGCAGGTGGGGCTGAACACCTTCGAACTGGAAGATTTGGATGGAACTGGATTGAAAGGGCCCTTCCCGGGGCAACGACTGGTCAGGTTTTTAAGTCGGAACCCAGTGGAACAATGGCTTCAGGAGGCCGAAAATAAGGAAATTGAGGAGCCACAAGCTAAAGACTAACCACAGCCTTGCCCACACTATGGTTTGTCTCCGACCATGTTCGTGGGACTGTCATTTTTTTTTGGGACTGGCGCTTTGGCTTGGACTGACTGAGGTTGAAAGGCAACATGACTTGGGGGTTTGCAATATCTGGCTTGTGTGACAACGAGAAGGGATGTTTCGGGCATTGTACCATAGTTTTTAACCGAAAAAAATGGGGTCATCACAAACGACGCATTCGCATGTATAAAAGGGGGGTGATGCGAGGGATACTGGGTGCATTTTGGGAATGCCTACGGCCTAAGGGGGGGGGGAGGCGTAAGTATATGAGGGACATTGCGGGTGTTGTTTTGTTATACAGGGCTTAGGAGTAAAACGAGAAAAGACAAAAATGGAATTCGGCAACGAGAACGACAACAGGGCAATCAACAGGCCTACCGGAGGGGAAGAAGCTGGACCAAGCCAAGGGAGGAGGACAGCGAATAGAAAACTGTACATTGGGCTCATGGGCGGGCCAGTGGTAGGCAGGGGTGGAAGGAAATGCTTGTGTAGGAAACCCTCACCCCTCCGCAAGGGAGAAGGTATAGAAATATCATCTGACAGTGAGGGCGAAAAGGGAAGGGCAAATGTGGAAGAAGGAGGCAACACAGAAATGGGAGATAAGGCTCATGTCTCTAACGAGGAAGGGGCCGACAGGGGCAAACGACGTGAGACTTGGCATGGGGAAAGCGAGGGGGGACAAGGTATGCGCAACGAACGTGAGGAGGACGAGGAGAAAAAGGAGATCCCGCTTGAAGGACGAAGCGGTCACGGTAGTTGCGAGGGGTATGGGACGGGGACAGAGATCCCTTTTACCTACGATCCAAAGAACCTTGCTGGTGAGTATAGCCCCATACAGACTGAAGACGAGGGGGACGAGGAGGAGGATGTGCGAGAAGTCATAGAAATCAGCAGCAGGGATGAGAGGGATGAGATCTCAAGGCCTAGGGAAGAGGGGCGGCCTCCGATGCACCAGCCGGGCGACGAGGCTTTCAGATGGGAGGACGAGTTCAAGCCAACGCCCAGTCATTGGTTTCAGCAATGGACCAATGTAATCAGGCACGAATGGATTATCAAGACTCGGGAACTCGCAAGGGCAGGGGTGGAAGCCACACCATTGGATTTTTTCAACGAGGCAGAGTTGCATAAAATTGTAAGGATGAAAAAAAAGATCGAGACCTACAGCCTGGGGGTTAGGAAGCCTGCCAAGGAATGGGGTGGATAAGGAACTGGGCAAGACGAGGCGCAAGGCAGCAATAGGAACTAGGTGTTGACTTAGCATTGAAAGGGATCGCTGCTTTTCTGTCTGCAGAGACATGAGAATAACGAGAACGTGTATAGTATGGGCAAGCTTGCTAAGGATGAAGTGAAAAGAGGGCCAGCTAAGACTATGTTACGATAAGATAGAAGATAGTTTGTGGAGGCTACTTTTTGGGATGAACTACCTTGGGTACCTAAGACAAAGATATGGGATTTGGGATGAGACCAATTGGGAAAGGGCGTATTGTGAATTTCGGATGGAACAAGGATTATGCTTTTGAGAGGGGAAAACCTTGAGTACGGATTGACGAGCAAACCATGGCATTGAATGATTGGTCGAGTACAAGAGAGGTTAGGGAACCTATGGGTTACGGGGCGTGAAGAACACTCCTTCCCTAGGAGCCTAATCCAACTGAGTCATGAATGAGATTGAGAATAGTCAAAACCTGAGAGATCAGGAGGAGTGAAAATGGAAGGGGCGTCTTTGTCATTTGTTCTGGATGAACGACCGGGTGGGGTCGCAAGCCCCAACTCGAGTGCTAGACGCTAAGTCGGACGTACGCATGGATGGTACATTACTGTGAGAAATGGAATGGATGGTACATTACTGTGAGAAGTGGAATGGATGGTACATTACTGTGAGAAATGAAATGGATGGNGAGAAATGAAATGGATGGTACATTACTGTGAGAAATGGAATGGATGGTACATTACTGTGAGAAGTGGAATGGATGGTACATTACTGTGAGAAATGGAATAGATGGTACATTACTATGAGAAAAGGAAGAAAGAGAACAACACGCAAAAGATGAGATGACCGCTTTCTAACCTCCAAGACAGAAATGGGATCCGTAACCTCGAGGCCCATCCCCTCGGGCACTAACCTTGAGAATGGAAAGGAATGACCCTAACCAGACTGTTCGACTTGAGAATGGAGAGGAATGACCCTAACCAGGCTGTTCGACTTGAGAATGGAATGGAATGGCCCTAACCAGGCTGTTCGACTTGAGAATGGAAAGGAATGGTCCTAACCAGGCTGTTCGACTTGAGAATGGAAAAGAACGACCCTAACCAGGTTGTTCGGGAATGGCCGCTGACAAAGGTCATTCCTTTTGAAATAGGCACTGGGGTCCCATATTTGATAGAGAAAGATTGATTTAGGATGAGCAGGAATGAGCAATAGGAGATGGAAAAGGCCGGTGGGTTGGTCATTGAAATAACCAATGGGATGAGAGAGATGGGAAAGGCCGGTGGGTCGGTCATTGAAATAGCCAATGGGATGAGAGAAATGGAAAAGGTCGGTGGGTCCGTCGTTGAAATAGCCAAAGGATGGATGAGAGAGGTGGAAAAGACCGATGGGTCGGTCGTTGAAATAACCAATGAGTTGAATGGAGGAAATGGAAAAGGCCAGTGGGTCGGTCATTGAAATAGCCAATAGGATGAGAGAGATGGAAAAGGCCGGTTGGTCGGTCATTGAAATAGCCAATGGGATGAGAGAAGTGGGAAAAGGCCGGTGGGTCGGTCGTTGAAATAGCCAATGAGTTGAATGAGGTGTAAATGAATGGGAGAATTGACTTGAAAAGTCAACAGTGTTTTGAACTTTTGTTCCATTTGTTGACATGAGACAACTTGCACGGTTTGTTCGCAATTTGGTGCGCAACGTGTAATCATATCATTTATACATGATTCTCCAATCATTTGCATACTTGAACGCAAACTAATACTACGTAATTCATGTTGTTTCAAGAACTATGGTTCCAATAATCCATTGGGCATAAACTCTTCTGTAGATAAAATAACTTTTTATCTCTATTTTTACGGGGTTCGGAGCAAGCACTTAAAAACCAAGTACGAATAAGCGTGTAGTTGTTCCAGCAAACGGCAACGTTTTTCTTTAGAGATCACTTTCTAAGGTGGCCATCCCGCCCAAAGAACCAAAACAGATGTTGAAATATGGAAATGGAAAAGGCCGGTGGGTCGGCCACTGAAAATTGCCAAGAAGGCGGGGGAAAGATGTGAATAAAAGAGGCGGGACCTTAAAGCCAAGAGGGGCCGGGACCGTTGGGACGGTCACAGAGATTGGGTATTGAGGAATGAGAAAATGAAGGATTGAATGGGCGGAAGGATCAGTCTTGAGAAATGGCTATTGAGAGAATGACCGCCAGACCGGCCATATGGATGGCCTTGCCGGTGAGAGGCTGTCAGACCAAGCCATGAGAATCAGCCTTGGAAATAGCATTGGATTGAATGATTGAGGATTGAATATTGCATTGCATAGGCAGGGGACCCTAGGCAACTTGAAATGGACTTGGAAATAGCATTGAAATTATTTTTTTCTTTTTCTAGTTTTTGGCCTCAGCAGGAAGGGGATAGCGGTGCTCGCACCGCGACCCCAAGACTTCTATCCCTATAAGGGAAAACGTCTCAGCGCGACCTGTTTCTCTTGTAAGGGGATGAGGGTTAAAGGACCAAGGCACCTACCACTTGGA